CAAATTTAAAGAGTTATTGGTAAAACTCATCAATATCAGTGCTATATTCGTGTGTATATACCTGGTTACTATTATTGTTTTTGCTCAATGAACGCAATATGATTTTTCGATTTTTGTAAATTTTAGATTTCACTATTTATTTTTTGAAAACACAACAACATATGCTTAAATCCTAACTACATAAACTTAAAACCCTGTCCACACGAAAATGGGTATTTTCAAAACCACACATTTTTCTTTGCGGTTTTGCTGTTTGTCCACACGGAAAAATGCGTAAAGTATGAGCGAAACCAAAACTTTCTGAAAACTCCAGCTCTGGGTACAGTGTGGTCACGTGGACACTTCAACCGGACAACATTTTCTATTTTCTGATTGGCCAATATGGTTGGGTTCACACTAAACGCGGATGATGCAAATTAGGCAAGTGTCACTGGTTCACATCAAATGCATCGCGGAATCCGCCTCAGTTTCATAGTTTACATGAACTTGTATGCAATTCACTTGTGAAAATTTTTATTTCCTATTTGGGGTGAACCCAGAATAAAAGTCTCACCATCGCCACCTGTTGGTTTGCCGTGTTCTTAGCATGCATCTCAGTGCATTTTGATATTTTCATGTGGACGGAGATTTGTTAAAAAAAAACCCCTGTACGTGTGGACATAGTATAAAACTTATTATTTTATTTAGCAAGTTGCATTCAACCCAGAATATTCAACTGACTCAAATTGTGAAACATTGTGAGCGTAAATAAGTCAAATCTGATCACAGTGACCCAAAGAAACAGACGTAACAGTAAAAGTGCATTTAAAAAACTCTGGACGATTTAGCGAGCATATCCTTGAATCCTGTTGAACAATCATGTGGTTAAGACAGTTAAGGCTGTGCTTGTTATAGAAGAAAAATAACGATTGATCATTTACGACTATCATCATGTACTTGAGTTGAAAATGGTTATAATGGTGTCGGACTAGTCTCAGTTGTCCTTTCAATAAGGAATAATCACTCCCCAAACAATATTCTCTCATTTTAATATCATTAAATTACTATAAATTGTACAATTCTATAGGTACAGTATATAAACAGTCAAAAAAAGTGCACTTGCAGAGGGAAAACAAAAGAAAAACCAACACGTCACGTAAGACAGCATCTAAAACACAGGTCTGTCTGTGGTGCATAATGATGGTGTCACAGGGGAATTGGGTCACCGCACCGGTTTTCACCTCTAGATCTGCCTGTCATGGGTAACCAGAGCTAATAAACCCCCCCCAAAATATGAAGAACTAAACGCCAGTTCATGTGTAAGATGATTCACGTGTGCTGGACAGAGAAAATATACTTTATTCGATCAATATACCTTGTGGCGTCCATTTTTACATGATTAACCCAACAGTAAAATGGTCAAATTGCAGGAGTTGGAAACAAAATCTGAGAGCGGAAATTATATTTTTGCTATTATATGATGAGATTTTTGTTTAAGAATTAAGCATTAAATTTTTTTTGCGCATTACGATTATCTAGAAATAAAACCAGTTTGTGGGGGTTAAAATCAGCTGTATTTATTTTAGAATTAAACTACATTTTTGCACATTATAGTAATGAAAGTGTAAGAGAAAAATGTGCTTAACTGATATACAAACGTCAAAATCTTTAGTAAATATGTTTATTTCTTTAGACTTTAGAATGAAATCTTATTTGAATGCTTGTTTTTTTATGGGATTCACCCATTGAGATATTAAGAGAATTAGGAGACCACTTGAAAAGTCGAAGTTTCTCTGGATTTACTGTATTGATTAGGAATGTTTTGAGTGAAATGCCGTTATTTATTTCATTCATTATTTGTCACTTGGCATATTTTAACTAGTTAAAAATAATCAATGTTTTATTTGTTATTAGGGATGTTCTGATACACTGTTTCCATTCCCGATACCAATTCCGATATCTAAACTCAGGGTATCGGCCGATACAGAGTACTGAACCAATATCAGAGTGTATATCTGTAGAAACAAATGTGTATACTACTAACACTGTATGAATTGACAGAATAAATGTACAGTGTGCTTTAGATTTATACATTCATAAAATATGATTATCATTTAAAAAGATGGTATTGAATCGGTTTATGGTTTTAAATACTCCCAGATATCGATGCCAGAGTTCTTGCAATATCGGCGAGTATTTCCGATACTAGTATCGGAACATCCCTATTTGTTATAAAAATAAATAAATAAAATATAATCGGGTTTATTCCATCAAAAAAAAAAAAAGATTCCTTAACACTCATGAAAGTAAAATGATGTTATAATGTAGTGTAAAATTAAAATACACATACCTGAATTTTTTTTTCTTCTAACCGAATGTAATTTCAGCAAAAGTTCTACAAACGACTATTATTTTTAGAGTTTATTAAAGTGACCACTTGAAAACTCTGAATTCAATTTAGAATTAAATTAAATGAAACTCCTCTGCATTTACTGTATTCATTAGTAATGTGTTTGAGTGAAGTGACAGCAATTGTTTCATTCTATAAAAAAAAAAAACGTTTATTTCAAATTCCGAACAAAATATTGTCACTTGGCATATTTTGACTACTGGTTAAAATAATCAATGTTTTTATTTGTTATTAGGGATGTTCTGATGCACTGTTTCCATTCCCGATACTGATTTCGATATCTGAGCTCAGGGTATCGGCCGATACCAAGTACTGAACCGATATTGGAGTTTATATCTGTAGAAACAGTTGTGTATACTACTAAAACTGTATAAATTGACAGGATAAATTTACTATGTGCTTCAGACTTATCTACTGATGAAATATAAACAAATACATACAGCGAACATTATTATCTGACATTTTTATTATCAGACATTCAATAGTCTGAGCAGCGAAGCGAGTCCGGTTTTGCTGCATTAAGCAAAACTAGTGGTAATTTGTCTCATTTAAAAAGATGGTATCGGGTCGGTTTATGGTTTCAAATACTCCCAGATACAAATGCCAAAATGTTTGCGGTATCGGCGAGCATTTCCAATATCGGAACACCCCTATTTCTTATTTAAGGTAATAATAAAAAACGTGTTTATTCCATTAAAAAAAAGTATTCCTTAACACGCATGAAGATAAAGGCATGCTAAAAACGAATATACACATATCTGATTTTTTTTTTATTCTGAAAATGAAATTTCAGCAAAAATTCTCTAAACGACTATTATTTTTAGTTTTTAATTTGTAAGAAATGTCATCACTAGTCTACAGAATAAAACCAAAAAATATGTTTTACTTAAACACAGAACTAAATTCAGAGTAAAGGAGCATTTTCAAGTGGTCTTCTAAATATGTGCAAAAACGACAATCAGAAACAGAACTTGCAAAGATTTTTAGTCCTACTTTTTTTTTTTTTTTTTTTTTAAAGTATGTTGGGGTTAAAATGAGCTGAATTTATTTTAGAATTGAACTATATTTTGAACAATATAGTAATGAAATTATAGGACAAAAATATTCTTAACTGACATACAAATGTCAAAATCTATAGTAGATAGTTATTTTAATTTATTTATTTAGATTTCTAGACTTCTTCAGATATTTGTACACTGCATTTTAGAGAAATTTTTTTGAGGGAAAATAGCTATGAATAAATAACTTTGAGACTACTTGAAAATTCAGAGTTTCTCTGGATTTACTGTATTCGTTAGTAATTTCTTTGAATGAAATGTCATTAAATGTTTCATTCTATAAAAGACATTTCTTTAAAATTTCAAACAGAAATTGCCACTTGCCATACTTTGACTATAGGTTAAAACAATCTGTTTTCATTAGTTATGAAAACAAAAAGTGGGTTTATTCCATCAAAGATTAAATACTTATGTCTAGTGAAGTTAAAGTGATGCTATTATGTAGTCCTAAAATTAATATCTAGATATGTGATAAAAATATTCTGACTTCTCCAAAAAGAAAAAAATTCTCCAAATGACTATTTTTATTTTTTTAATTTGTAAGAAATGTCATCACTAGTCTACAGAATAAAACAAAAATTGTGTTTTACTTAAACACAGAACTAAATCCAGAGTAAATGAGCATGTTCAAGTGGTCTCCTATAAGTTTCAAAAATTGTCAATCAAAAATAGAGCTTGCATTGATTTTTAGCTCTACTTTTTGTTAAGTATGTGGGGGTTGCAATCAGCTGAATTTAGTTTAGAATTGAACTATATTTTCGAACATTAAAACAATGAAATTGTAGGAGGAAAATGTGTTTAATTGGCCTTGTCAAATCTTTAGCAATTATGTTTCTTTCTTTCTTTCTTTCTTTCTTTCTTTCTTTCTTTCTTTCTTTCTTTCTTTCTTTCTTTCTTTCTTTCTTTCTTTCTTTCTTTCTTTCTTTCTTTCTTTCTTTCTTTCGACTTCAGGGTAAAACCATACTTGAATACTTGAGTTTTTACGAAATTCACCCATCCAGATATTTGTACACTGCATTTCAGAGAAAATCTTTGGGGGAAAAAATAGCTTTGAAAAAAAAAAAAAAAAAAAAAAGTTTTTTTTTTTTTTTTTTCCAAAGAGACCACTTGAGAATTCAGAGTTCCTCTGGATTAACTGTATTTATTAGGAATATGTTTGAGTGAAATATTGTTATTTGTGTCATTCTATAAATGTCTGATACCATTTATTTATTTTAGAGCTTTGTTTAAAAAAGAAATTGACCACTGTTCAAAAAAATCAATGTTTTAATTTGTTGTAAAAAAAAAAAAAAAAAAAAAAGAAATAGGTTTATTATTATTATTATTATAACAATGCTGTTAGTTGTTTCATTCACATATTTTGAACACCGGTCAAAATAATCAATGTTTTCATTTGTTATGAAAACAAAAGTCGGGTTTATTCCATCAAATATTGTTACCTTAACACTCATGAAGTCAAAGCGATGCTATTATGTAGTCTAAAAATTAATAAACACATATCTGAAAAATGTTCTTCTGACTGAATGTAATTTCAGCAAAAATTCTCCAAACGATTATTATTTGAATTTTTTAATTTGTAAGAAATGTCACAGAATAAACAAAAATAGGATTTACTTTTCAAGTGGTCTCCTACCAAATAAGTGCAAAAATGTAAATCAAAACCAGAACTTACATTGATTTTTAGTTCTACGTCTCGATAAATTATACAGCAATAGCGCGTGAGGGTTTGTAAAATGAATGCAAGAGGTTAAAAGTTAGCTGATAACCTCGAGATTGGGCTGTGCGCTTAACATCTAATATCATCCAGATAACAGCAACTGACAAGATCTGAACAGATGTTTCTTGCTCCTCTCACCTCCTGTGCTCCTAAAAGCGCTTTTAAATGCATGGCCAATGTAGCATGATAAAAATCTGAACACACAAGGAGTTTAAAGAGCTTCACTTTCCTACTGAAACTGAGTATTTGGCTTGAAATGCTTAAAAAAAGACACAAACTAGCCTGCATGGACCAATCATATCGGCAATTGTCATTTTTAAGGATGTCAAAATGGACATTCAATTTAAAGGGATAATTCATCCAAAAATGAAAATTCTGTCATCATTTATTAATCTTTCACTTGTTTGAAACTTTTGATTAAAAGCAAAAAGAAGATATTTTGAAAAATGTTGTAAACCGGTAACCCCTGACTTCCATATTTTTAAATTTTTCAATAGTATATCAATGAATAAACAGTATCCAAAACTTTTTCAAAAATCTTTGTTTGTGTTTAACAGAAATAAACAAATCACAAAACAACTTTGGAATCATTGGTAAGTGACTAAAAATAAAAATTCCGTCATCATTTATTAACCTTTTGATTGTTTGAAACCCGTTAAAGATTCTTTTTTTGTTTAAACGCAAAAGAAGATGTGATGTAGAAGATGTAGAAATGCTAGAAAGCAATGACTTCCATCATATTTTTTTCAATGCTATATCAATGTTTAAATATAGTTTCCAAAACTCTTTCAAATATCTTTGTTGGCGTTCAACAGAAATAAATTAATCTCATTCAACTTTGGAACCATTTGAGAGTGACTAAATGTGAAAACTCCGCTACAATTTAATAACTTTTCACTTGTTTAAAACTTGTTAGAGATAATTTTGTCGGCTAAACGCAAAAATAAGATATTTTGAAAAATGCTGGAAACAGTTAACCATTGACTTCCATAGTATTTTTCTTTTTTCAATATTAGGTCAATGACTAAACGTAGCTTTTAAAACTCTTTAAAATATCTTTGTTTGTGTTTAACAGAAATAAACAAATCTCATACAGCTCTGGAACTATTTGTGTGTGACTAAAAAAGAAAACTCCGTCATCATTTACAAACCTTTCACTTGTTTGAAACTTGTTACAGATTGATTTTGTGAAACATATTTTCCAAAACTCTGTCAAATATCTTTGTGTTGAACAAAAATAAATGACTGTCATACAACTTTGGAATTATTTGAGGGTGAATAAAAAAAAAAATGAAAAATCAGTCAAAACTTACTACCTTTCACTTTTTTAAAACTGTTAGAGATTTTTTTTTTGTCGATTAAACGCAAAACCGGTAACCATTGACTTCCATAATATGTTTTATCAATGACTAAACAGTTTCCAAAATTCTTTTAAATATCTTCCTTGGCGTTCAACATAAAAAAAAAAAAACAAAACAAACAAAAAAAAATCTCAAAGCTTTTAGAACCATTTGAGGATGAATAAATGAGTTACTTTTCATTTTTATCCCTCTAAGATCTGATATGTCTCGATGTATAAAACGGTTCAGTGAAATCTAGTTTAGGATTATAAATATTTGATCTACCGCTTTGATTGATTGGTTTAGTCTAGATGATGGCTGATGACTGCGTGTGTACAGATCACAGGAGAAGTTAAAAACGCACTCGTACACACGCGACACACAATCTCGGTTTCTGGTGGAGATTCACCTGTGCTCTCCCAGCAATGCAGTTCTGTCAGGAGATCTGTCCTTGGTGAAAAGCTTTCTGAGGTCAGAGGTCAAAACTTGAGTATGGACTTCGTAAGAAATGATCCAGATGTGTCTGGGTGTGGAAGGGTCACATTTTGGGATGGGATGGAGGTCGTGCAAACCCAGAGACACCCGGAGCTGAGGGAGAGAGTTACATCAATTTCCAAACATGCAATTTATCCTGATTTTTAACTACAATGAACTGCTGTCGAGTGATGACTAGTTTAGTATACATTATCTGATAAAAGTCTTGTTGTGGATCCCAATTGTAAGGACAACTAATAACTTGACTTCTAGTTAATCATTTGGAAAAGTCTGTTGAACTTGTGTTCTTGCAGGACTCCCAGACTCAGGATTTTTTTTGGAGTCATCTTCAATGCCTTCTCCTTTATCTTACCCCAGATATGCTCAATAATGTTCATGTCTAGTGACTGGGCTGGCTAATCCTGGAGCACCTTGACCTTCTTTGCTTTCTGGAACTTTAATGTGGAGGCTGAAGTATGAGAAGGAGCGCTATCCTGCTGAAGAATTTGCCCTCTCCTGTGGTTTGTAATGTAATGGGCAGCACAAGTGTCTTGATACCTCAGGCTGTTGATGTTGCCATCCACTCTGCAAATCTCTTGCATATCCCTAATACTGAATGTAACACCAAACCATGGTTTATCCTTTGACAAACTTGACTGATTTCTGTGTGAATCTTGGGTCCATGTGGGTTCCAATAGGACTTCTGCAGTATTAGTGATGAATGGGATGCAGTTCAGCAGATGATTAATCAGACAAATCCACCTTCTGCCACTTTTCAAACAACTAGAGGTCAAGTTATTATGTGTTGCTCTTACAACTGGAATCGACGACAAGACTTTTGTCAGGTAGTGTACAGTGCTTGAAGTGTATTACTGTTTGTGATTTGCAGAATGGTCCTATGAAAGTGCTGACTGACCTGAGAGGGGGAGGTTGTGTGTGTCTGGTCTGACATCCGGTGTGGTTTAAGGGTCTTCAGAGCCCTAACAGTTACACTGCTGCTTGGTCTGTGCAGCAGAGCCCCGGGGCTGTCGGATCTGCCGCAGGGACGCGTCGCCATACTGAATCCCAGAACCCATCCGCTCTGGGTCCAGCTCACCTGAAACGGCAAACAATACAATCTTGTAATGCGGACTGTGGCTATGTCTCAATTAGCACAATAGCTCCTGAGCTGCTTCATCAGTAGGTCATGTGCATGAGAATTTGGGCACTGGTAAGGAGTGTGACATAAGAACGTCTGGAGATTACTAACATGTTCTCATGACATTCTGAGTTTTAGGTGTATTATGGTAAGTGAAGACCTAGTACATGTCCTGACTGGGTTACGGGACTTCTGTGTCTGCTGGGAGTGATATATAAAACTATCAGAAAACATGTAGATCAGATTGCATGTAAAAACTCTCCTTCAGTTTTCTCCTTCCTTTATCAGGGCTTGCCACAGCTAAATGATCTGTTATTTATGTGTTTTACACGCACACACAAAATCAAAAGAAAGCTGTTAGCCGTTTAAGATGTTAGCATTAGCATATTAGCATTAAGGTAATCTATAACAGTGGTCCTCAACTACCAAGGACTGTGGACCTGTACCAGTCCATAGACCGGGCCACACAAGAAATCATTAATTATTTCCATTTCATTTAATATCTGAGAGTCTAAACAATGCTTTATTTTGAATAATTACCATATTTTCTCGCTTTCATCTGGGTCACTTGAGCGCCCCAATGTAATCCACAAGCAGAAAAATGAGTAAGAAACAGACATCTTTGAAAAGTTTCTATGCTACGGGGAAAAGACCCCGTGAAGGACCCGCAAACTGCCAAGGAATGGATCCGCAAGCCATTTGTCAACAAATCAGGTGTATCCAGCATGTTTGCGCAAGAAAAAGATCGACTGCTGGAGATCGCAAATGATGGCGGCCTTTTAGGAATAGTTTGCATATCACATCTTTTCTGAAGTTCGTTGTTTCTAATGGAGTTGAGTGGCCTGCATGGACAAGCAACATGATGTGCTCACAAGAAAAGAATTGACCGATCAGCTTTAGCCTATATAGAACACACATTTCGGTAGACTAATTATCTCAGAAAAACACAGAACACCCAAACACTGGAGTGCTTTATGATTTTCTCCATGACTAAAACTTGTATCTGAGTGACAGTAATCTGATACAAGTCAGCTTGTCATCCTCTGAGAAAATGATTGATGGTTGCCTAGCAACCTACAAACCAACCACCAACTGGTAATACTGTTAAGCATTAACCGGTCCGCAGTGATAACAATGATGAGGACCACTGATCTATAATCTAGTGCGGTGGTCCCCAACCCCCAGGCCACGGACTGGTACCGTACGTGGATCAATTGGATCAAAATCATCAATTACTTCCATTTTAATTATATTTCAAGTCTGAAGAATCTTTTATTTTGTAAAATGGCTATTTTCTTGGTTACATCTTAGTCATTTAAGTGCCAAAATTGAACCTGCAAGCAGCAAAATGGGAAAGAAACAGACATCTTTGGAAAGTTGCGAAGGGCAAAAGATGCAGTGAAGAATCCATGAACTGCCAAGGAATGGATCCACAACCTATTTGTCAACAAATCAGGTGAATCCAGCATGAAAAGATAAACTTATAGACCAACAGAACCATTTTGAATCCGTTGTATTTACAAATTTATCAAAATAATTCATTCTTACATGATATATTCTTAATGTACTATTGCTAGTTATTTTTTTTACACTGTTTCTTGCTATACAACAACTAATAGAAACAATAGTTAATAAAAGTTCCTTCTGTTACAAAGCCATTACCATTACTCAAACTAATCTCAACCTTTCATATTGTATCTTTTGTAATGTGCATTTTTATAGCACATTTAATGTGTATGGCCATAGACCCAAAGCACTTCACAATCCTGAGGGGGAATCCAATTGGATGACGCGATGGCAGCCACAGGACAGCGGCGCCATTGGAGGGATGGCCGATGGAGGGACTCTGGCCAGGACACCGAGCTACACCCCTACTCTTTATGAGAAGTGCCATGGGATTTTTAATGACCACAGAGAGTCAGGACCTCGGTTTAACGTCTCATTCCAAAGACGACGCTCACTTATAGTATGGCGTCCCCTTCATTATACTGGGGCATTAGGACTCACGCAGACCGCAGGTAGAGTGCCCCTTGTTGGTCTTACTAACACCACTTCAACAATCTGACAAAACATTGCTGCAAGTATTATCTATGGAGAAATAGTCTGAGATAATTAGTATAACGAAATGCGCATATTCCATACAAAGTATGAAGCTGATTGGTCAGTTCTTGTCAATGGATTTTCAACTGGACGTGCCTGGAAATTGGAAAAGCCCTCATTGGAAAGCCCTCATTATTTGCAATCTCCAACAGTTTATCTGTTTCTTTACACTAAAACGACTTTAAATGTTCTTAAATAGCATTTTAGAATGAAAACGAGCCACGTCCACACTGTATTTTACCTTGCATTTCTAAACAGCTCTCTATCCACACTATACCGCTGAAAACGCACATCATGTGACCACACACACACACTCTCTGGCATGTGTTTCAGCAGTATATGCGCACATCTGAGCTCCAGCAGCACAAAACCCCAGAGAGCAGTGCATGTGGAACAGTTTATCAAGGATGTACTGCTGGATTGCGTCTCACTATAGTTGTCAAACGGCTGATGGCCGCCTAGCAATCATTGACCGGTCCACTGCGATTAAAAGGTTGGAAATCACTAGCTATGTTTCCATTAAACTATTTTTATGCACATTTAGGATGTGTGCATAAAACAACGGTTGATGAAAACACTAATATGAGCATCAATTTTGAATATGTGCAAAAAAAAAATTACGCGCGCAAGTGAGTAGCATAAACTTTTTATTCAATAAAAAAGATGCGCATAAACTACGGTGGAAACACTTTGACCGAACAAATTCCAGTATGCGTATTAAAAAAAAAAAAAAAAAGATAATTCTTTTAATAGATCATGTAATGATGAAAATCTGTGTGAATGGACAAACCAGCAGGCTGAGCACATTGTAAAACATCTGAAATGTTGCTTTGGTCATTCTAAAATGCCTTAACCGTTTCAGGGTGCTTTCACACCTGTGAATCGATTCAGTTGTTCCGAAACAGAGATTACAAATGTTACATTGTTGCTCTTTGCTCTTGGAGTGGTTGGCTTTCACACTGCAAAGTTTCTAATCGGACCAAAAGTGCTAAAACAAGTCACGTGCGAGTAAACTCTCTTTACATTGGTCAGAGTGTCAGGGTTTATTTTGCAGCGTCCCGCTAAGCTGTCAGGAGAAGTGGTGGTTTGGTGGTGATTGACAGGGTGCGCGCGCGACGTGTCTGAGGAGAGACGCGGTGGGGAGGGGTGAGAAGGATGTGCGACGATGCCTACTTGAGGACCGGGAGGGAGACGTGAGATTACCGGGAGATTATCACTCGTTTACGGGCATCCGGAGACTCGCGAAACTTCCCGCCATACTCATAATTCTCTCTTCATATAGCCGTAAGCCTATTACATATCTATAAAACACTGTGATATAACCGCACTCGGATCGGATCGCTTTCTCACTGCAATCGAACCGCTCCAGGGTTTGTTTCAATCGAGCCGAGACCACCTCATTCAAGCAATCTCGGAGCGATTACTTTGGCGCAGAACAGAGCGCGATTGCCCTGTTCACATATGCCAAACGAACCGCGCTAACTGGGCAAACGAGATACGTTCCGAAACAAAAGTGTAGGTGTGAAAGCACCCTCAGAATTAGTCTTATAATATTATTAATGACCTCCAGTATCAAGAGCATCTGTTATCAGCATCTCAAGCCTTCGAACACCACCATACGTTCATTATGTGTCAGCATAATCTACTGAGGTGGAAGTCATTTATTATATGAAGAAAAGATTCACGCAGCTTCTCCTACTGCAGCAAATTCAGTTTTTACTGTATCTATTTACTGTATCGATATCTGGCACTAGTTAATCAGGAAGTGACTTTTAGTTCTCTTTGACTCATTGGATGGAACTTAATTTGCATGTCTTTTATGCAATATTCCAGTTTTGGCAAACATTTAATTAGTATCTTTGAATGGAAACATAACTACTAATCTAGTGTGCTCCAAAACAGTGACTGGCAGATTGTCCCTTCAGGTAAAAATCGATCAAATTTTTGTTTTGTCCTATTTTAGTTCATCATTAAATTTTCCGACCAATCAAATGCTCTCGAGTATCTGACGTGTCCCACCCCCTCCGAGCCGCTTCTCATTTGCAGTTCATTTGAAGCTCTTGATCTTAACCACTCTCACTGAAAGTTGGGACAAAAACAAAATGCTATTGGCTGTGATTTAAAAAGGGGAGGAGTTACTATATGTCCCGCCCTATCTTTATGGTATAGTCTAGATAGTACGCGTAACAACAGCTGCGTAAAAACGTGCTGGATAAGTTGGTGGTTCGTTCCGCTGTGGCGACCACGGATTATTAAAGGGATTAAGCCGAAAAGAAAATGAATGAATGAATGAATGTATAACAATAATTCATATTTTTACAGCACTGTGACAGCTGGGTTTAAGGTTGGGGTGGGGGTAGGCATTAATAAAATTTTTTATAGGGTAATTTAATAAATAACATAAATAATACTCTGTACAACTACTGTTTTTACATTATTGTGACGGTTGGGTTTCGGGTAGGGGTATATATATATCAAGAGTAAAAGACATGCTCTTTAATAACGTCACCTCACAAATCGTTAAAATTACAATTAATACCTCACACCCCTACTTGAGCTCTGAACTTTGCTGAAGCTTAAAATAAAAAAACACTTGTGCTCTATCTGTCAGCATGTTGTTAACTAAAAAAACACAATGAACTCTTACCTGATTCAATCTTGTTGAGGATGCTGCGAGCGCATTTAAGAAAGGCTTCCTCGACATTCTCCCCAGTCAAAGCACTCGTCTCTAAAAACATCAGCTCTGGACACAGTTAGAACACAGCAAAATCAGCCATTTGATCATAATGCAAACACTTTGGTGCAGCAAATGTCCATATGGAGCCCTGTTAACGAGCCTCAGCATCGGTTTCATGAGGGCGCTTGAGTGTGAACAGCATCATCAGCAGGAATAAACGTACGTCTTCAGGCGTGTCTACAGCACTCCCGTGAGCAATACAGGAGAGCTTGTAAAATGAGGCGTTCAGAAATATTCTGCTGAGAGGAAGAGAAGTGCAGCAACATGCATCTGTTTTGAAGATGATGAATTATGAATGCAAACACAGATCCGTCAAGATTTATTATGAACAGGTGCCTGAAGCAAGTAAAAACTGATCTTGTGGCTCACATTTAAAGCTGCAAATTTAACTTGGATTTGAAAAAGTTTTCGTATCAAATAAATAATTTGTAACCTGCGAAACCGCTGTAGCTTTATTTATTTATTTTATTTTTTGTGGTCCATGATATATCAGTGTCTTCTGATGAATACTTATTTTTAATGTTAACTTTATCTGCCTAAAACGATCATAAGTTATCGGCTGAAAAATAATAAGTCATAAGCATTTTAACTTATGTCTTCCACATAACTCATCTTTTTCAAATGATTGAAAATGGTTTTGTAAAAAAAAAAAGAAAAAGAAAGAAAGAAAAACTTGCTGTTGTCTTTTTTTCTGCAGTTAGGGTTTAAAAATAAAATGCAGCTGTCCACTGTATTTGTTTGCCTTTTCTTTTTGTAATAAGGCTCAGTAAAATTTAAGGGTTAGTTCACCCAAAAATAAAAAAAAACTGTCCTATGCATCAGCATTAATGGCTATTTTTATGGCACAAAAAGTTCTTTAATAATTATACAATCAATTATGAATAAATGTATAATAAATATACAATTAAAAGTCACAAATAAATGAATACATCAATTAGACAAGATTTGTAATGGTAATATATGATAAAAAAAATCCAAAGATTTTCCAGGAGACTTTGCTGAATAGATAATTTCATAAAATGAAATGTCATGACTCATGCATTCATAAAAAGCAAGACCAATGCAATCAGGGAATCTTCAGTTAAAAAAAAAAAAGACTTTTAAAGACCCTTTTAAGAGCATCATGAATGAAATTTAGACTTATACAGAGCTAAACACTAAGGATTTATTCTAATGGGCACAACAGCATAAATAAATAAATAAATAATTTAGTTCTTTCTGAGACACATATTTTAAAAATTAATTATTGTTAATAATAAATCAAGAAAACTCTAGTTAAGTATAAGCTTTTTTTTCAACACGTTTCTTTTTTTTAATGACAAGTTAACAAAAAAAATATATTTTATATATATACATTATATATATATACATATATATACACATACATACACACATATATATATATATATATATATATAGACATACATATATATATATATATATAGACATACATATATATATATATATATATATAGACATACATATATATATATATATATACATACATACATACATACATATATATATATATATATAGACATACATATATATATATATACATACATACATACATACATACATACATACATACATATATATATATATATATATATATATATATATATATATATATATATATATATATAGACATACATAGATATATATATATATATATATATACATACATATATATATATATATATATATATATATATATATATATATATATATATATATATATATATATATATATATATATAAAACAAATCATTGTATATCAGTGGTTTGTTCTGTAAACAATCGGGGGGGAAAAAAAGCTTAAGGAGGTTAATAATGCTGAAATAAAAAAAAAAAAAGACTTCCTCCAGAAGAAAAAAGCTGATGTTAAACAAAATGGTTTTGACTTACACTGTACAGTATATATAAATAACTGAAATAAGATTGTTTGTAAATGTGATATTGCCTAAAGAACAGCTCTTACCATTTTCCTGGGCGAAGCGAGATGCCTCTAGGAAAGTGACTTCACGGTCTGCGTCCAGATCCTTCTTATTTCCGCACAGGATGATGACGATGTTGGGACTGGCCAGTGTCCTTGCGTCTGTCAACCAGTTAGTCAGAGCATTGTAGGTCTCCCGACTAGAGGACGGAGAGGAAGACAGAGTGCAATTGATCTGTACGGTTTTCATAATACACATTTTGCCACTGATAGAGACAAATGCCACTAGAAGTGCTAAAATAACAATAACGGTCTCTTCTCCGCAGTATAAGTATAGTGCACATTTTCATATTAACTCGACTTTAAGATCTGTCACTCGGACACCCTGTCAGAAAAGTCTAGTGGCTGGGAATATGCTTTTGACAGAGTCTGGTATGGTGTTAATGTTATTTTCTTGTGTTTACGTAGATGAATATGACCATGGTGTAAATGCACAGTATAGTTAAGAGCTTACTGCCACACTATATCAATATGATAACATGATTTGTTGCCATTGGTGATTTCCAGAAGATAAATACCAAAAAGTGCAACCACAGCCGTCGCTGATCTCATATGAAGTAAGAGCTCACAAAAACATCTGATGACGTGTGCTGGTGTTTTAGTGCTGTCATATTTTTTTAGGGGTAAATTTAAAGTCCTTTCCTTTTCACACTCTGTTTCAAGAACAAAGGGGAAGAGGTAAGGGTAAAAACCTATCAATGGGATAGGGCCGAAGTGTGTGGGCATCCGGGGGCAGGATACATGCCTGCACAGTGCTCATCAACGTGCCCAATATCACCGGACACGTTCTCATTGTCATCTTGCTCGCCTCTCTTGGATTTTTCAAAAAAGATGGAGGAACTGGTGTGTGCTGGAACTAAACTCTCACACTCCATTGCTGCTAGCCCCCAGTTAGCAACCAAAAGTCAGCAAGCCACACGCCCATCTCTAAGCCCACCTCGCCCTACACCTAGGAAAGGCCTCAGGTCTTTGCGACAGCGCCAGGTCCCAAAAAACACCTCATCTTTAGCTGGTGAACTTAAAAACTGCCATTGATGTGTCTCGGGGGCCTGCTTAGGTAACAGTGTCTTTATCAGATGTTTACAGAACAAGCAGGAACCCAGTGTGTCTGTAGCTTTCTCTACGCAGATATGTGTCTTATTACGTGACAGAAAACCAAAGACTCTTTCAGACCGTATAGCAAATCATTCAAATCTGGTGTCTATTAAATGTATATCTGAGACTTCTGTAGTGAAAACGACTAAAACTGTTAAGTTAGCACTTCTAAACATCAGATCACTCAATAATAAGTCACTTTTAGTCAATGATTTTATCAACACAAATTGCCTTGATTTTATGCTTTTAAATGAAACTTGGCTAGATGACAGTTGTAGCGCAGCAGTTCTGAATGAAGCAGCTCCTTTAAACTTTGACTTTTTGAGTGTTTGCAGAGCTAATAGGAGAGGTGGAGGCATCGCTGCCCTGTTTAAGGATGTGTATGAATGTAAACAAGTGTCATTTGGTGACTATTTGTCTTTTGAATATCTGAGTATAGCACTAAAAGGGTCTCCACGCATCTTACTAATCATTATCTACAGACCTCCAAAATATTCTCCAGCTTTTATTGAGGATTTTACAGAGCTTTTATCAATAGTAACATCTGAATATGATTATTTTAGTATTGCTGGGGATTTTAATATTCACATTGATAATCCAGAAATCAATGCTGTAAAAGAACTGATGACTGTTTTTAACACTTTTGATCTGACTCAGCATGTTCAAGGACCCACACACAATCGTGGACACACTCTTGATCTACTTATAACTAAGGGTTTACACATTTCATCGACTGTTGTTAAGGATGTGGCACTATCTGATCATTTCTGTATTTTCTTTGATATATTGATCACTCCAGCTATTAAAGACAGATCTGTCTCTGTCAGAAAGAGATGCATAAATGAGAACACTAGTGAGCAGTTTATGAAGGCCATATCGCTAGCACCAAGTATATCTGCAGACTCTGTTGATTCTCTCCTTGATTTGTTTAATTCTAAAATTGAAAATGTAATAAATGACATCGCTCCTGTTAAAGTTAGGAAGAGAACCGGCAAAGAGAGAGTCCCTTGGAGAAACTCAAGAGCAGTCCAAATGAACAAAAGACAATGCAGGAAAGCTGAGCGTATGTGGAGAAAGACGAAACTAGTAGTCCATTATAATATCTATAAAGACAGTCTTCAGGCGTTTAATGTGGAAATAAAAACTGCTAGACAGACTTTCTTTTCAAACCTTATAAACAACAATGTAAATAATGCTCGCACACTCTTTGCAACAGTAGAGAGGCTCACAAACCCCCCCAGTCGGATTCCCAGTGAGCTACTCTCTGTAAGCAAATGTAATGAATTTGCTAATTTCTTTACTGATAAGATCAATAATATCAGAAAGGCAATCAGCTCATCCAATCAGCCAAGTTGTGTCGATATCAAACAAACTCAACCACAACTTGAGAAGTCAGACATTATGTCTGATTTCATGGCAATTAACGGTAAAATCTTAGAAGAGATGGTGCAAATTATAAAAACATCAATCTGCAGTCTTGACACGCTCCCCACATCATTCTTCAAAACGGTGTTTACCTGTTTAGAAATGGATCTTCTAAAAGTGGTAAATGATTCACTTCTCTCAGGGATTTTTCCAAACTCACTTAAAACTGCAGTTGTTAAACCCCTCTTGAAGAAGAGCAACCTGGATAACACCCTATTCAGCAATTACAGGCCAATCTCAAATCTCCCTTTCATTGGCAAAATCATTGAAAAAGTTGTTTTTAACCAGGTTAACAAGTTCTTAAACTTCAAGGGGTGTTTAGACAATTTTCAATCTGGTTTCAGAGCACATCACAGTACAGAGAGCGCTCTTATAAAGATAATCAATGGTATACGTCTAAACACAGATTCAGGTAAAATAACAGTGTTGGTATTGCTCGATCTCAGTGCTGCATTTGACACTGTCGATCACAGCATACTTCTGGATAGGCTGGAAAACTGGGTTGGGCTGTCTGGGACAGTCCTCAAATGGTTCAGATCTTACCTTGAAGGGAGAGGTTACTATGTCAGTATAGGTGATCATAGGTCGAGGTGGACACCCATGACATGTGGAGTCCCACAAGGCTCGATTCTGGCACCTCTCCTGTTCAACCTTTACATGCTCCCTCTGAGCCAAATAATGAGAAAGAATCAAATCTCCTACCACAGCTATGCTGATGACACTCAGATCTACCTAGCCTTACTGCCTAATGACTACAGCCCCATTGACACCCTCTGCCAATGTATTGATGAAATTAAAAATTGGATGTGTCAAAACTTTCTTCAGTTAAACAAAGAGAAAACTGAAGTCATTGCGCTTGGGAACAGAGATGAGGTTCTCAAGGTGAATGCGTACCTTGGCTCTAAAGGTCAAACGACAAAAAATAAGGTCAAGAATCTTGGTGTGACGCTGGAGTCAGATCTGAGTTTCAACAGTCATGTCAAAGCAGTCAGTAAATCAGCATACTATCATCTCAAAAACATAGCAAGAATCAGATGCTTTGTTTCTAGTGAAGATTTAGAGAAACTTGTTCATGCTTTTATTAGCAGCAGGGTGGATTACTGTAATGGACTCCTCACTGGCCTTCCCAAAAAGACAGTCAGACACTTGCAGCTCATCCAGAATGCTGCAGCCAGAATTCTGACCAGAAGCAGAAAATCAGAGCACATCACACCTGTCCTCAGGTCTTTACACTGGCTGCCAGTTACATTCAGAATAGATTTTAAAGTATTATTACTGCTCTATAAATCACTAAATGGCCAAGGACCTCAATACATTACAGATATGCTCACTGAATACAAACCTAACAGATCACTCAGATCTTTAGGATCATATAAACTAGAAGTTCCAAGAGTTCAGTCTAAGCAGGGTGAATCTGCCTTCAGCCACTACGCCCCTTGCTGCTGGAATCAGCTTCCAGAAATGATCAGATGTGCTCCAACATTAGGCACATTCAAATCAAGACTGAAAACACATCTGTTTAGCTGTGCCTTTACTGAATGAGCACTGTGCTGCGTCCGACAGATCGCACTATTATGTTTTTCGTTTTCTTTTTCATTCTTTTATAACCTATTTTAACTCATTTTAATTTGTTTTTATCTGTTTTTAATAATTTTTATTGTCTGCATTTTATTTTCCTAAACTTGTCTTTTTTATTCCTGTTTATGTAAAGCACTTTGAATTGCCACTGTGAATGAAATGTGCTATATAAATAAACTTGCCTTGCCTTGCCTTGCCTTGCCAATATACTGACACTGAGGTGAATAAACTGAATAAAGCGAACATTTTTGTTCTTTTTTTATGTGCGCACAAAAGTATTCTCGTATTCAGATTGAACCACTGAAAGAATATGGTCTGTTTGAAGATGTTTTTTTAGTATATTGTATATCGATATTGTATTTGGTCTGTTTTGAACAGGCAGTTTTTGATTTCACTCAAACTGCAATATCGGTCATGTTATTCTATCATGTTTTCTCCAAAACGTGGACAAGCACCTGTCCCCGTTCTCTGCAGAATGTCATTAATGTGGACTCGGTCTTTAGTCAATGGTAACAGGCAGGCCTTGTTAAATTCAGCAATCTTTTTATTGATGATGTTTTTGCTCCATTTACGACTTTCTCATTAAAATACACACACTTTATTAAACAAAAGCCTGTACAGTATATACAGTTGAAGTCAGCATTATTAGCCCCCCTTTTTAAATTTTCCCCAATTTCTGTTTAATGGAGAGAAGATTGTTTTCAACACATTTCTAAACATAACAGTTTTAATAACTCATTTCCAATAACTGATTTATTTTATCTTTGCCATGATGACAGTAAATAATATTTGACTAGATATTTTTCAAGACACTTCTATAGACCTTAAGGTGACATTTAAAGGCTTAACTAGGTTAATTAGGTTAACTAGGCAGGTTAGGGTAATTAGGCAAGTTATTGTATAACGATGGTTTGTTCTGTAGACTATCAAAAAAATACAGTTGAAGTCAGAATTATTAGCCCCCCTGAATTATTATCACCCGTTTATTTTTTCCCCAAATTTCTGTTTAATGGAGGGAAAATTGTTTCAACACATTTCTAAG